ATTAAATAAAATTTATAGTCTTTCAGCTATGATAAAATGAAAATTGGGGAAAATAAATATAGAATTAAATAAGTTTTCGAAATTTTAATATTAAAAAAAATTGATATATTTATTAATTTTAAATATAAAAATTCCAAATATTGAAATTGCTTCATAATATATCGAATTTAGAATAACAAATTTACGCAACTAACAAAAATTCCACAGTATAATAATTTAAATAAACGTATTATTTGTTTATCATTTCAGTACGTGTACAGTTACATGTACTCAGCTGATAAAAAATATATTTAATTATGATTTATTTTACAATGATAAATAATTATTATTATTGTTTTTTATTAAAGTTGCATAATTATTTTATATTTATTTTAAGCTTTAAGTTTACGTTTTTATTTTTATTTTTTGAAGTAATCTTTACTTATTTTTATATTATAATGCATTTTAATTATAAATGTTAACGACAGATGGCTGTAATGAATATATATTTATCGTAGTTAACATGGCTTTAACGTTTTACTTATTGAGGCCGACGAGTAGCCTTTAAAGAAAGGTCGACTCAGCCGTGAGACTGTTAATTCCTAATGTGTGTGAAAGGGACTAAATTTGAGGGCTTTTAATGTATTATTTGCATATTGGACACTTAACATCAGACGTGCAATATAAACTTCATACAAGACATATTTATGGTATCAGTCTTGAAATTAAAAATAACGTTTAAATCACGCTGAGATAAAATTTGTTAAATAAAAATAAACACTACAAAAGAGAGTAAATAAAAGGTCTTGACAATTTCGTGCAATGTAATTATGGTAAGAAATATATTACAGCATATAATTTGAATTACAGTATTATTATTTCTTTTAGCAGAAAACTGGGATTTAACAAGACCTTGTGGCAGGGATTAACAAAACCATTCTGACAATTTAACATAAACAGCTTTCAGTGATGTAAGCCATAATAGCGACAATACATTGAAACACACAAATATATGTAATTAAATACAATAGCAATTTCTACACAACGTAAGAAAATAATATAAAAATTTAAAATTCATTGGTCTTTAAATAAAATCTGTTTTGTGAGAATTCTGTCTTACAGTACTGTGAACAGTATAAGTGACACATACTGTATGATTTGTTCTCACTGAGAAATATACATGAGACTTAACTAATAGAGAATAATGTGATTCTGCATGAAATTATGTAGCAGTAAATAAATGATCTTTAATTTTTATATTTAAGGTCAGTCTAAGGTAAAAATGAACTAAACAAATGTAGGCATCCATGCAACTATTCTCATTATAATTACCCACTTCTTTGCTTTGTCAACCCTCCATTGCTGAATGGAAACCTATATAACACCGTGAACAAAAATAAATAAAGTATTTGATGACTTAAAACTACTTCATATAGTTATTAACGTTTAAATCATCTCAAAGTATTGTGCAACAAGTTTTTCATTAAAATTACCTGTAGAAATTAATTCAAGATCTTTTTTAAACGGTTGGTGCAGTTAATAGCAGAACAACTTGATGGCATAACTTCGTAGTGCAAGTGCAATACCATAAATGTCAGTAAGAATTGCTAAAAATAAAATTTAAAAATTATTATGTTAAAAATTATAATTTCTATAAATTACAGTGCATTAAACACCAGTTTAGTGTCTAGTGAAATTCTCATATTGTAATTTCTAAAATAAATGCTGACAAAAATACAGGACTCTGAACAAGAATACACTTTTTGCCTGTCATAGCAATGGAGGCCGTTAGCTTCAAATGGTGGCGTTGTAATCAGTATCTTTGCCAGTATATTACTTATAGATCGTTGGCTGTAATAGCATTGAAGCAGTCAATTATAACAATTACAATTGATCCTGTCTTTCATTTTTAACCGTTTGAAGAGCCTATTCTAAAAATGAATTAATCATATACTTTCTTGATGTATGTTCAATGTGCTTTATTATAGATTATGATAAATATATAATAATTATACCGTAGCCTATAATTAATTACAAGATGCTCGAGAGCAAGAAAAAAAGAGAAAACAAAGAATTTCAAATGAAATGATAATTACAACAGTATCTGCATTTATGAATCAAAATACATCAGTAAGACTACTGGCAACAACTTTAAATATTTGCCAAATTTCTTTGCACAGATTGTAGAAAGAAATTTAGCACCCACAACTAAAAATTAACCGCTACACACTAGTTGTAAATCATACAACCGTATGTTTAGAAATGAACAGGAAAAATCCTGTCTTATATAATCACTTTTTATATAAAGTGTGATATTTACTTTTAAAAAATATAAATATATATCTATTCCTTCATAAATTTTAATTCTTTATAAATTTATGCTAATATTGTTGATTATATCTATCATTTTAGGTACATTTAGATTGTATATACAGTATATCCGAATCCAAATATAGTTGTAACGAGCCATTTACAGATCTGACTCATACGAAATAGCTTCCGGGATAATTCTGATTCATATTTTCTACTTTAATTTATTACATATAAGGACAAACATTTAAGCAATGGAAGAAAGTTTTTGTCAAAGGAAGGATCTGTATTTGAAATTCGAAGAATTTCAAATACAGATCCTTCCTTTCTTCGCGACTTATTCATAAAGTTTCGTTCCTGGTTCATTATTATAATACATCGGTCAATTCTACCGCGATACAGCAAAATTGATGGACATATTGGCTTGCTTATAACAGCTGAATGTTTTGCTTCCAATAAAAATTATGCAAAAACTGAATAAAGGAAATTCTCCTGTTTATTTTATTTTTTAAACTCTATACAAAAAGTTTTCAATATTATCAATAATTATGCTCAAATAAAATCGACGGAAAATGTGAAGGAGACATCGAGATTTGTATAAACAAGAGTTTGGTTTAAAAGATTTGCAGACGAATATGATCTGGAGCGACTATTCCATTAAAATATTTAAAAAACTGGCAACGGCTCCTGTTCGATTTTCCTGACACTCAAAGAGGAGACTAAGAACTTCCTAATAAAATCCAGTAATTTTCAATTATACTAAGAAAAAAATTAACTAATGACAAAAGCTTAAAAGAAATAATTTTGTTGAATTATGATCAAAATCCAAATTTAAAAAATATTTAAGTTTAAAAATATTATGACATTATTTCAAAGTTAAGGTCTATAAATTGTTGTGAAGATTTCTGTTGTGTGAGATTTGTAATATAATAATAAATGTTTTAATAAATAATGATTACTTGCTTAGAAGACTGCAGAAAATGATTTTCCTCTTCTAGTTGATGTTTTCCTTTAGCAGGAACAACAGCCATACAAGATATATTCTTTGTATAACAGCTTGAATATATTCAATAAGAATAATTCAATTGAAATTTAGTGCATATTTTATAATTATTATTGCTTTTATAACTATATTTTGATACAAATAATGTTATTTGCTGCATATATTGTCTTTTAGTGTGAACGTGTTGCATTTTCTGAAGTAATAGTTTTAGTGAAATTGAAAACTGTAGTATCAGGTTACTAATAGAGATTTTTTAAAAATAATTTATGTTGTTAGATGAACACAAAAATCCAGTATTTGAACTTATTTATACTGCTTTAATATTTAACACTTATTCTAAAATGTTTGCATCATTAAAGATGTTTTAATTAACCTTGTTTAAATTGCATCAAAACATGGTTCTCAGATCTGTTTGTGGTAAAGTTTTAGTTTACTTTCAGGTTGTATAACAACATTATGTAACTTATTAAACAGAATAACAGATTTATTAAACAGATTAAATTGTATAATATGTTGTTTGTGGACTGAAAACATACTTTAAAATTTAAAATAAAATACAGTAATTGAAATTAAAACTTTCAGTCATTTAATTAATATTTCATAATAATTGAGAGTATGTAACAAAATACAAATTGCATATTGTAATGAATAATTATGTTGCTTAATAATCATTTTATTATAAAGTAAACAATAAATGAAGTTAAAATTATAAAAGAAATTCCGTGGCTTGCAAACTACGCGTACATAGCATGAAATCTTGTAACCTTGGGACTAAAGATCCAATATGGCGGCTCCATAGAGAACATTGGTGTCCTGAATTCGTGTTTATAGACCTTGATCAAACTTAATTGTATGTGGCGCCATCTGTTACGAGATGTTATTAAAAAAATGTCGAAAAATGTTAATATTGGGAATAGGGAATTTTTCCTTAGTCTTTTCCCCTTCAATGAAGAAAAAATATATAAAAATGATTAAAGAAACAATATTTAAAATTTTCTATGCCAAAAAATATCGCTTAATTAAAGATGATATAATAGAGGATATGCACAAGAAATTTTTAAATCATTGATCTGAATAATACTCGAAAAACGATACCATAAGAAGAAATATTGTAGAAAGAAGACGAGAGATGAAAAATACGTGTTTATGTTTGCTCTTGTATGCGTGTGTGTCGGCGTGTATTTTGAACTAGTCTATATCTCATATTTGAATGAACCAAAAATTTTGAAATTTAACAGATTTATTTTTACATATGGAAAATTGGTGCTATTAAATTTTGATGGTTAAAGATTAAATATATGGGAAGATAGAAAATGTCATGTGTCATATCTCGAATGGAGTCATACTTAATAGTAAATAAATGCTTGAATTTTGTGGATCAGAAAATATCTTAAATAATGTATTTATTTTAGTTTCAAACTAACGAAGAAAACTTTTTTCGAGCTATTTGTAGTTTCTTTAAAGAGTAGTCTATCTGTTATGTTGAAGAATCAAGGTCGTATTTTTTTAATGCAAATACTGTGTAAAGTTTCTCTTATTGATAATTTTATAGTTTAGCATTACATAAGATTATCATTTAGATCATCGATGATATTAGAACAAGGCATATTTAATTTTGCGTGAAATCTTCTAAATGCCTTTAAAATCCAATTTTTTTTTCACTTTTTCAAAACTGTATCAGTTTAAATTTATCATTTGTTATATTCTATTATAATTATTTTGGCACGCTACAATATTTGGAACAGAATCAAGGTTACAATAATTTTTCTTTCTGTCAAAATTAATACTTCTTCATTCTTGGTATAGAATTCCATACACGTTTCTAAAGCATACTTATATTTTTTTAAGCGTATTTCACGTTTTAAATCCAATGATATATTATACATCAGACCAATAATAACGTCACGTGTGTTTAATTTAAACCTTCACATAAATTAACCACGTGTATTGCGTAATTATTTTGCCAAGTTAAATATTATCAATAAAATTTAAAAGCTATTATTCTGAAGGCAAGAACTATTGTGTTTGTAACTTGCATACCACCACCTACGAATTGTCATTAATCGGAAGAGAAACCAAGTAGTAATAATTATAGAAAAATGAAACTTTATTGGCTCATTGTTTGTCTGACCACTCGTAAGTGTTTAATATTCCTTTTACGTTTATCACGAGAATTTTATCATCATTTAATTCATTTTTTTGTTTTTTTTAAGTGTCATTGGTAAATGCGAAGCAACAATGCCATACATCCGATCTCGATTTGTGTTTTCTGCCCACTGTTCTAAAAATTAGCAGAAACAGAATACCCCAAACTTCCGAAGACTTAGAAAAATTATGCGAGTAAGTTCGAGATCATAAGCAATTGAATTTTAACTTAAATTAGTTATTAAATGATTACATATTTCTAGAATTGCAAATAAATCATTTAATTGTGTGGATGATTTTCTGCATAAATGTTTTGCTGATTGGCATCAACAACTTATAAATCTAGTATTGGAAGATGAACTCCATGTTTTGAAGGAATTATGCCAAGTTGGAAGCGAGTTTCAGACAGGTGAAACGTATTAAATTTATTTATTAAAATATAGATATGTTACAGTCAAAACCCGTTTTTAGTTAGAAGGCGTTTTAACTAGTTGAAACTAGTTTATAATGAATGTCTTTGTTAAAACCCGTTTTGTCTAGTTAAAACTAGTTTTAACTCAAATTCATTTTTGACTACAGTAAATTCTAGTTTTAACTAGACAAAACCGGTTTTGTCTAGTTAATTTACTGCTGTACATGTTTTGACTTTAGATAAAACTAGTTTTAACTTTTAACATTAGTTAAAACTAATTTTAGCTACATAAATATGTTTGGGGGAAATAAAGTTATGTATAGTGATTCGGCGGAAGATGCCTAACATTTTGCTTATGAAGAAAATTACAGCGCTAATTTGAGTTTAGGAGCCCTCTAATGAAAATATCATATTCTGGAGTATGTCTTTCAAATAAAAGTTTGGAGTTTATTTTAAAAAATTCTATACTGTGTTTGCAATGACGACTTTTTCACTGTCTGGCATTTTAAGCATCTCACCCCAAGTATCTGGGTGAGATGCCAAATGCCATTAGGGTAAGATAACAAATATAATTGCTTAAAATTAATTTTTGAATTTCTTAACCAAATTTAATTTATTGCATATGTAGTACAAAGTACTTCATAGTAAGTATAACAGCACAGTATAAGTATTGTTAAGTTTCCGCCCGTTCTAACGTGTTCTATAGCTAGCTGAAAGCTTTTTTCAGTCCAAAAACTTTTTTGAGAAGTCCTTATATAATTTCTATGCATATCCTGCAATAAAACGAGAAAACAAAAGTTTATTAAAAATAGGCATATTGGAAATCAATTAACAAAAAATAGGCACGTTACCCCAAGAAAAATGTGGCATATTTTCCATTTGTTGGGGTAAGATGCCTAGTAGAGTCACGTGCTCCAGCATGTCCGATCGGGATCGGCGGTAGCTGACAATGGAAACTTTAGAACCTTAACTACATCACACATTAATTGTTTTTAGCAATTTTTAATAAATTCCATTTTAACTTTTAGTTTAAAATTATTCTAGAAACATTTCACAACAAAAACTTCGTTCTTATCTAGCTTTTATTCTTCTCGGATGTAGAAAATGAAGTAACGGTAGCCAACTACAGCTTTCCGCACTCAATATTGGCCCAACGATTCATCATACAAATACATGACAATATGTGACGTCACCGTTTGAAAATATCAAAAATTAGGCATCTTCCCCCGCTTACCATCTTACCCCGAATCACTCTATGCGTTGCAGTCAAACCAGTTTTTAGTTAGGATGCGTTTTAACTAGTTAAAACTAGTTTATACTGGATGTGTTTGTTAAAACCCGTTTTGTCTAGTTAAAACTAGAATTTACTGCTAGTCAAAAATGAATTTGAGTTAAAACTAGTTTTAACTAGACAAAACGGGTTTTAACAAAGACATTCAGTATAAACTAGTTTCAACTAGTTAAAACGCGTTCTAACGAAAAACGGGTTTTGACTGTAACAGATACATTAATCCACTTAATTTGCTTTTAATTTATAGTTCGTTATATAATAATGTGTGTTTTAATTTTAACAATTAAGTAAATTGTTAAAATGGGTTTTTCTTGGTAAATGTGGGGAGAGTGAGCATTTCCTCTTTAATATTACCTATTATATAAAGTAAACTTATAAAATAATAAAAATCTTTCTTAATAGTAAATGATTCGATTATTTTTATAGAGTAAAATAACATGCAGCTGAATTCAAAATTTAAATATTATTATTTTATTTAGAATTTTTGAAAATTGCACCCTGTTTGTCGGTAGCTTTCAACAATACACTTCATGTATGTTTTGAAAACTTTGAAAGAGTCGTAAATCAAGTCACTGGAGAAAACATAGAAGCCAGAATACCTTCAGGTTGTTGGTAAGTATATTGTTTAATTGCATATATTGTACATATATTTTATGTTTTTTAATTGATTTTTTTTTATTTATAGCTATTTTAATAAATTTTATGACTGTACATTTGATCAAGTAGATGGTTCTTGTGGCAAAAAATCTTTCTCGACATTTAAGAAATTATTACATATGTTCGGTTTGCATTGGTATAATCACTTATGTTCCTCCTACAATCCTTCTAGCAACTTTTGCATAAATATGTTAAACAGAGAGGTTACATCTCCTTCACCAAATTATTCATATTTGGCTAAATTCCTTATCATCATATTCAAAAGTTTTCTTTAGAAACATTTTGAAATCAAAATACTTTTTTCATCTTAAATTTAGTAAAATATATTTTAACAAAAGTAATAGCATTTGATTTTACTACATTATTTACTCTTATAATGTATATTGATGTAAAAGCTTCTTCTTTATCAATTTAATGTACTGTACAATCTTATGATATAATAAAGATGGATTGATGATAATAATAATAATAAACGAGTCGTTTTATATCATAAATGTCCAGGATTTTAACCAATTGGTAATATATTTTTAGCTTCATTTTTCCAATGAAGAATTATTTATGATTTCGCCTACATAACTTTTTCTACTTTGTGATCAAAATTTCAATTATCACATTGCTTAACCTCCTGTTTGAGTGCCAAGAAAGCCGTGCAAGAGCCCTTGTTAGCTTGTTTTTTTAATAACATTTGTATATTTTATTTGAAAATATTTAGCAAGAAATACATACACAAAATAGACATTTCGATTTACTAGATTATAAAATCAAATTAAAAAGTTGCAGAATAGAGGCCTACTACTTTTGTAAACTGCTTATTAAATGAGAAAAGTTGTCAGTATGTTTTCTATTGTTAGGGGACGGAAACTTTTCCTATTGTGGATTCGGCCAAGTTCACGTGGTGAGGTACAAGGCCCGACATAAATCCTGATAGTCCATCCCGAAAAATTACTAGGTTGTTTCGACCCGTTCGGATTAGATCCTCTATCCTCCAGAGCGGTAAGCCCCACCCTATCCATCCGGCCTTACACCCGTCAACCATCTTATGTGGCCAATTTCTGGCCACATAAGAAAGGTGGTCACTTAAGCGAGGCTACGAAAAAAATTGACATACGTAACTGTAATTAGAGTGCTGTAGTGAACCCTGTTAAACGTTTAATACAAATCTCAGTAAACTGCTCCAAAGCTATAGCAACAAAGCTCAATTCCATTTCTTTAAACAATAGGTTAAATTTAGAAAAACGAAAGTTTTCTGTTCTATTGTCCACATAAATGGGAATAAATGCCAGTTTAAGACGCTTATCAGTATATCTTGGCCACAAATGAGATATTCAGTGGCCATCAAGATGAAAGTTTGTATTAAAACTTATCCAGTTTTATACGGGAATTTCGTAGATAACTGCTTAAGCCAGATGACTATAGCGAGAGGCTTTACCGCATTTCGTTTATGTAGTTCAAAATTATAATTATAAACGAATTACCACGCTTAGAAAGTATGCTACATATCCGAGATATTTAATTGCCTGGTGATAAAAAGCATAAATTTGTATAAAATCAAAAAAACTGTATTTAAAAATTTTATGTAAAATATTTGCCGATATACTTATCATGTTTTGTATTTTGTATTAGTTAGAGGTCGTATCAATTATCGAGAATTTTCATATTAAAATTGCAAACAATAATTTTACAGAAATAGTTATAATTGGCATTTGCTATTACTAAAGGACATGATTATCGAAGTACTGCCTCAAGCACTTAAATGTTTTATAAAACACCTCTGCTATAATGTTGAACAACCTTGAACAATTTTATACGTCCTTTATATGACTTTTACTCCTATAATTTTATAAAAAAATTAATGTTTAACAAGTAGGAAAATTTTTGACAAGTAAAGTTAATAAAATCGAATCGGCAAACTTATTATGTATTTTATTACTTGCAGGAAAACCTGTATAAACTGGAATTGCGCTGTATCAATTTTTTTCTTTCTGTTTCATACATTTACGTTCATTTTTATAGTAACCTTATTAGAGTATTATAGTACTTTTATTGTGTACATAAGAAAGGTTTTATTAATAAGTTTAATCCAAATTAACCCAAAAAATTCCAATCGAAAGTTGGAGTATTCAATAGTAGATTTAGAAATCTTTACAAGTGCAGAAAGTTAACAATATGCCTTACAAAATATTTTACTATTTGAGGTACTCGGCTTTTTTCGGGAAAACCTTCAGAAGGTGATGCAGCTGTTGTCTGCACACCTTCCCGAAATACATCCCTGGAAATTCGAATGCGAAAATTAAGAAACGTTCGATTCTAAAAAAGTTCTGGTGACGAAAATTTATGCTAGGAATTATAATGCTAAAAGTTTTTGGAGACGATACTTATGAGCTCACACGACAACTCGAAAACAAAGAACTAGAGTAGCCCGCAGCCTCCGGCAACATTTGTTTGTTTGCATAAGGCAATGCGATCTTCTGAAGCGAATGTCTTCCGGAGGACTTTCTATTTAGATAATATTAATGTGAAAAAATATGGAAAACTCCACGTGGCCATCCCGTTAGCGAGGCGCGAACTCATGACCAGTGTTCAGTGATTTTATTCATTCGGCCACTGGTGGACACTTTGGCAACGTAATTTTATTTCTTCTTGTTTTTTTTCCTCCTGTCATTTTGTAACTCTAATTAAGCTGATATTCGTGACGAAGATAATTAAACTAGACCAGTGAAAAGAATTCATTAAATATTGTCGTTTGCGTATCATTAGCATATATTATTTCAGTACCTAGCGTACTGAAAGCGATCGAATACAGTAGTACTCGCAACTCCACGAGGAAAAAAACGGATGCAGCCCGCCTGAAGCGTAGAAAGTTCACTTGTGGCCCTCATCTAAAAAAGGTTGCTCATCACTAGAGTCTCGCTCATTAGTAAAAATTTTTATAACATTATAGTAATATAGAAACCAAGATTTTCTGCTATCAGACTTATCGAAGAATTTTAATTCTTTAGCTTTAATACTCAAATTTTTAACTTTAACCTCTATAATTACAATGTAATTACAACAATGATAATTAAGTCGTTTTCGAATGCTGCTAAACTCGTTTTCTTGAAGCGTTGCTCGCAGCAATCCTCGCATGGATCTCACTGGTTCAAGGTTAAATCTTCAGCACTCTTCAGCCATATTGTTGCAGCGAGAAGCGACAAGATGGCTGAAACAGTGGAAATGTGAAAAGTTGATTTCTTATTTGCTGTGACAATAAAATTGTAATCACCGTGAATTGATATTCCGTTTGTACTAATTTTTCTTTTAAAATACTCATTAGTGAAATAAAAAATTTGACAAAACTTGTATAATTAAAATGTTTTATTATTTACTTTATGTTGCAGAAAGAAGCAAGGTGCATACATTAAATTCAAATTTAATTAAATTCTTTGTACCTAAAAACCTACGCTATATACATCAAATATGTTTCACACGCATGCTATAATTTCATATGTTAATATGACGATGATAATGTCGTTTGAATTTTAAAGGACTTTAAATCCACTAACCTGTCGTTGTGTGTGTGTGTGTGTGTTGGCGTACATTTCGTTTAATATTTCAAGATGGGATAATGATTAAAAAACGAAATTTAGCATAGTAGTAGCTTCTATATAAGGGAAATTGATGTTATTAAATTTTTGTTCGTTCAAGGTCAAGAGAGTGGAGGATGGAGGGGGGTCACTATTTCAGGTATACGACGAGATTTAACATCAAAAAATCTCTTACAATGTATAAATGTTTTTACCCGAAATCTTACTGAAACCAGCAATTTACATTATAAATCGGGTTTTGATAAGTCGTGATTCATATAGGCAACATTTTTTATCCTTCTTCTGTATTTAACAAATAAAAGTAAAGATGCCAATTTACATATAAGTTACAGTAAACATATAATTCATTTTAAAACTTTTCTAATGATCATAAAGGTGAGCATTATTTACGCGGAGCTTTCGAGTTAATCAAAAACTTTAATAAATAAATAAAAAGTAGAAATGCTTCGTCGAATTACAACTTTAAGCAACAAGTATTCCAACACTCTACCTTCTAGCGCTCCTTTGAGACTTCTGCCGTCGTAGCTTCAACTTTGAGAATTATTAGCTCTGTCAATCCACTTATCATCCTTGGTATAGAGTGGACATATCTTCATCTCAACCATATACAGTATACAGAAATCAATAGGAATCAATGTATAAAGATTAATAACTCAATTGCGAGTGAACAAAAGCTCATTATATATAGGAAATTTATACATAAATTTCTTAAATACAAGTTCCTATTGGTGTAATTCTAGTGATTTCTCAATATTACACATACTACAGAATTGTAGAAAACTCGAAGGAAAACAGAATGAAATTATTTAACTAGTGTTTATAAAAAGTTGTTTATTTTAATTAACATTTGTGANATCTCCATCCGCTCTCTTCAGACTCGGAAACAAAACGGGTTGTTAATCTTATCTAAAGAAAAAAAATTTATTTAAAAACTTTTTAACGATCGATTTATGATAATTTTTCAGTAAATGTCGAAGAGGTGTAACTCGAATCCATTTAGCTACAGGCTATTCGTGACAGATGGCAAATAAGACAACCAATGGCGAGAACATTTCATGACCGGAAATGTTGCGAATTCGTTATTTCTTGTTGGTTCAACTTTCTTCTGCACTTTTTTTAAATTACCTCTTTTATAAAAAATAATTAAATAATAAAATTATATATAAGAGATATTTTATAAAGCCATAATATCATTGGATCATGTATAAAGAGATATAAGTAGCACCTTAAACATCGACCCTTATAAATAAATTAAATAATATTTTAGAGTTAAATCGTTATTTAGTTTAATTTTTTTAAATGAAAGTTCTATTTAATTAATTATAAGTTATTTTTTTTGCGAATTTTAAAGATTTAAATATTTAAATAAAATAACGCATTTATACTGGAATAATATAGTGCAAATGAATATTATAAAGTTAAAATTTTACTTTTAAATAAAATAATTACAAGAAAAAAGTTGTTTAATTAAAACCAAATTTATTGATTTGATTTAATAAATTATTTAATAAATACAATAAATGCACAGCACAACACAATACAGACTAGTATAAGGGATACTTGCGAAAAGACTTATTTTTTTTCTTTTCTTAATGCAATTTTTGCATCTCTTCAAGTAACTAATTACCCGTATTTATATTTAAAACGCAAATTTTTGTTAAAAATTCAGGCGCTGTTGGCATGAACTCTCATATGTCTGTTTAAGTTACCAGACTGAGAGAATCTCAAGAGGCATAATTTGCATTGGTATGGTTTTTCTCCGCTATGTATTCTTAAATGCTTGGTTAAAGTAGAACTGTCGGAAAATGCTTTTTTACACATACAGCAGCGATAAGGTCTTTCTCCAGAATGAGTTCGCATATGTGTCGTCACAGAAGAACTCTGTGAGAATCTCCTATCACATACCGGACATCTAAATGGTTTCTCTCCACTGTGAATTCGTATGTGAGCTGTCAGATTCGCTGCTTGCGAGAAGGATTTATTGCACGTGCAGCATCTATAAGGTCTTTCACCGGAATGTGTCCTCATGTGTGTTTTTAAGGTACTCGGACGAGCGTAAGTCTTACCACAAATCCTACATAAATTGGATTTTGAGTTGCCATTTTGAGATTCGATTGTTATCTGATTTGAATAAGACCTTTGCATATTCTGCATTTTTGGTTTAACTGTAACTGTAGCTTGGCTTAATATGTCCTGTTGTTTTGTCTGATGAAATGGTTTGAGGCCGGTGTTACACATTCCGAATTCTCTCTCTAACGGGGGTAAAAGAGTCGGTTCCACAGGCCTAAATTCCGCTGTAAAGGTATAGGTACCAGCTGCTGAAGAATGGTTATAAGTAGGTGAGGGTGAATTATATGCTACCTGTACAGGTTGGCCGTAAGATGGGACCGAAGGTGGATATTGAGTCTGTGGATTAGCGGAAGCGCTCCATTGCACCTGCGATTGAGCTGTTGCGCTGTTAAACTGATCATTGAAATTAGGGACACCCATTGTCATATTCATGGATAAGTTTACACTCATAGATGCTGGAAACACAGATTGAGTGGGATGAGGCTGTGCGGTTGCACTTGGTGCAGGTTGTGACATATCATTTCCGTAATACATTCCTGCTTGATTATTGATGGGAGCAGTGGTTGAGACTTGAATCTGAGGATAAGCTGAATAAGAAAGGCCACTGACGTTAGAAGGAACTTGATTTTGAGTCGATGACTGCGAAATATAAATATATAACCAATATTTATGCTCATACTTTTTTAATGTTTTGTAATACAATAAAAAATGTATAGGCCTAATATAAATCACTTGAAATTGTATTTATGAAAAATAATTATATTCATTTTAAAATTTTATAAATTTTTAATTACAATGAAGCATTTATAATTATTATTAATAACACTTTAAGAATTAAAATACGCAGATGTATAAAATGCTAATTTAAAAAAGAATTGTCGAAAGTACTGTATTATAATTAATTTCAGATAAGAAAAATAGTATGAAAACGTTTAGATTACTGATAATAGATGGCGCCACTAGAGACGTAGAATATTAACGTTAATATTTATTCATATATAAATTTGTGTTTTATATATGAATAAGTGTATATTAAATTTGATAAAGAAATTAACAAGATAATTTATCTGTTATAAATTTTTTTAATGTTTTTCGTATATTTAAATTAAATAAATTTGCCATTTTTAATAAATATATACGAGGAAACATTCTATTAACTAAGAAAATAATTAATTATTTATTTATTAAATTAAATTTCTAATATTCAGTTATGGAAAGTTAAGAATCGAAATTATTTTCGTAACTTCTCACTATTATAATTTTTACATTAATCCTATAGGTATAAATTCATATTGGAGTTATTTGATTTGTAAATAATGTTATAGTCAAATGGCTTATCATGTTAATAACATTGTTTTAGATAAAGCAATCAATGTCCTTAACACCTAAATAGGGACTAGTTTTCTGTAGAAAGTCCTCGCAGAAGCAGATTATACACGTCTTGTGTTGCCTTATTCCATAACAATATTTGTAAGATGTTACGAATTTTCGTAGTAAACGGGATTCGAAAATTAAATAAAACGAAAAAGTTAAAATTTATATTCTGTAGCCGTATATTAATTCAGGATGTTGTTGATATCGAAGGAAGACAAAAGTCTACTCAGAGGTTCATGTTAAAAGGGAAGGGAAGGGAGAAGGAGAAAAGACGGATTAAATACAAGGGTGGATCCACAAGTGGGGATCTACAGGGGCTTAAGCCCTCCACATAGACTAAAAAATAAAATAAAATTTATTCGTTCGAACTTCAAATATAGTCCATCGGACCATCCTCTTGCACGTAATAAAACGTACAGAAATTATAATTAAAAATTATTCAAATATTTTTAATTTTTGAGTTAGCCTTCTTTGGGTTCTTCTACTGATTAAACATAAACCTATACTTATAATAATATATAAGTATTTATTTATATACTATTTTAATAAAATTATAAATTGAATTGCTTCAACGTTTCGTTAAAAATAATGTCGCTATAATATAATTAAAGCAATTCTTATAATTCGATTTTGAAAGAGAAAAAACTTCTTGTGCCCATTTCGTGATTTTATCGATTAATTTTTTAAATATAATGACTAAAATAGTCATAAAAACCTAATTTTTCACTATTATATATATTTTTATACACTGAAATATTTCAATAAGTATAATAAAAATATTATATTATTATTTACGATATTAATTTATCTCCATCCGCTCTCTTCAGACTCGGAAACAAAACGGGTTGTTAATCTTATCTAAAGAAAAAAAATTTATTTAAAAACTTTTTAACGATCGATTTATGATAATTTTTCAGTAAATGTCGAAGAGGTGTAACTCGAATCCATTTAGCTACAGGCTATTCGTGACAGATGGCAAATAAGACAACCAATGGCGAGAACATTTCATGACCGGAAATGTTGCGAATTCGTTATTTCTTGTTGGTTCAACTTTCTTCTGCACTTTTTTTAAATTACCTCTTTTATAAAAAATAATTAAATAATAAAATTATATATAAGAGATATTTTATAAAGCCATAATATCATTGGATCATGTATAAAGAGATATAAGTAGCACCTTAAACATCGACCCTTATAAATAAATTAAATAATATTTTAGAGTTAAATCGTTATTTAGTTTAATTTTTTTAAATGAAAGTTCTATTTAATTAATTATAAGTTATTTTTTTTGCGAATTTTAAAGATTTAAATATTTAAATAAAATAACGCATTTATACTGGAATAATATAGTGCAAATGAATATTATAAAGTTAAAATTTTACTTTTAAATAAAATAATTACAAGAAAAAAGTTGTTTAATTAAAACCAAATTTATTGATTTGATTTAATAAATTATTTAATAAATACAATAAATGCACAGCACAACACAATACAGACTAGTATAAGGGATACTTGCGAAAAGACTTATTTTTTTTCTTTTCTTAATGCAATTTTTGCATCTCTTCAAGTAACTAATTACCCGTATTTATATTTAAAACGCAAATTTTTGTTAAAAATTCAGGCGCTGTTGGCATGAACTCTCATATGTCTGTTTAAGTTACCAGACTGAGAGAATCTCAAGAGGCATAATTTGCATTGGTATGGTTTTTCTCCGCTATGTATTCTTAAATGCTTGGTTAAAGTAGAACTGTCGGAAAATGCTTTTTTACACATACAGCAGCGATAAGGTCTTTCTCCAGAATGAGTTCGCATATGTGTCGTCACAGAAGAACTCTGTGAGAATCTCCTATCACATACCGGACATCTAAATGGTTTCTCACCACTGTGAATTCGTATGTGAGCTGTCAGATTCGCTGCTTGCGAGAAGGATTTATTGCACGTGCAGCATCTATAAGGTCTTTCACCGGAATGTGTCCTCATGTGTGTTTTTAAGGTACTCGGACGAGCGTAAGTCTTACCACAAATCCTACATAAATTGGATTTTGAGTTGCCATTTTGAGATTCGATTGTTATCTGATTTGAATAAGACCTTTGCATATTCTGCATTTTTGGTTTAACTGTAACTGTAGCTTGGCTTAATATGTCCTGTTGTTTTGTCTGATGAAATGGTTTGAGGCCGGTGTTACACATTCCGAATTCTCTCTCTAACGGGGGTAAAAGAGTCGGTTCCACAGGCCTAAATTCCGCTGTAAAGGTATAGGTACCAGCTGCTGAAGAATGGTTATAAGTAGGTGAGGGTGAATTATATGCTACCTGTACAGGTTGGCCGTAAGATGGGACCGAAGGTGGATATTGAGTCTGTGGATTAGCGGAAGCGCTCCATTGCACCTGCGATTGAGCTGTTGCGCTGTTAAACTGATCATTGAAATTAGGGACACCCATTGTCATATTCATGGATAAGTTTACACTCATAGATGCTGGAAACACAGATTGAGTGGGATGAGGCTGTGCGGTTGCACTTGGTGCAGGTTGTGACATATCATTTCCGTAATACATTCCTGCTTGATTATTGATGGGAGCAGTGGTCGAGACTTGAATCTGAGGATAAGCTGAATAAGAAAGGCCACTGACGTTAGAAGGAACTTGATTCTGAGTCGATGACTGCGAACATATTCCTGCGCCTAAACCCATATTTTGTCCGTAATGAGAATGAGTAATAGAAGATAAAGGAGATAATTGTCCACTGATTTGAGACGTTGCTGATGAAAGCGATTGTCCTGCACTGGAATGAACAGGATGTTTAAGGGATAGTATCACATCCGATGTATCGTGGCCTTTTTCTTTAAATACGGGATAGTCTCTGGGGAAAAAGAATTTTGATGTTACATTAATTAAATGATAGTTTCATAATATTAATGTATTATTTTAAAAAATATATTTTAATGTAAAAAATTTTTAAAATTTTAATACTTTATTTGTGAAAATGCCTATATTTAAATAGCAATTCCAAAAGAAAAATAGACGAAAAAAGAAACTTCTTTGCATTACTGTTTGTTATGCGGAGAAGATACTTATACAGGGAAATCATCGTTCAAGAACATGTATTTTGTATCAATGAATTGAATTTTTTTTTCAATATAAATTAAGATTAAAAGTATTATTAACTCACCTGTATGGTGAAGAGCAGTTGTTAAATGTTATAAAGTTAGCTATCGGGTCTAAATCGATGGAAGAAAAACTGAAATTATTCATATTGAAATCTACGGGCGAATGACTAATATCTGGTCCTAGAACGGACTTGCAAGAGGTAGGACTCAAGACATGGTTATTGGAAGTTGCTTTCCAAGCATCTTGTCCGTAAGATGGGTTGTTGGGCACATAACAGTTCTCCATTTCTCCTTTATATGTGTTACTAGAATGAATAGCAAAGAAAACTTAAGAATGCAGAATGTATTGAACCTTTGAAATCAAACATAGAAAGAGAGAGAAAATGAAGCAGAACAAGTGAGTAGACAACCGGACCTAGTGATGATTAATTCCATTTTTCTCTTCTCTTCTCTGTGATTAGACTTTTATTATATACTATATTAATTTAACACAACAATTGATAAGTTTTGATATTTTCCAAAACAAAATTTATTAATTGGACGTTAACATTTATGGATTTTGTTAGTACTCTCTTTCAAAGAATTATAACAGGACTTAAGTAAGTTGATTCATTCTTTTTATATTACTCTAAATTTAACATCTAAAGCTTCATTTAATTTCTCATATAAATTAAAAATAAATTCTTAATTTTTATTTTAATAAAATCATATAATATTAAATTAGTTGCTAATTTTGATAAATTATTGAAATAATTTTTTTTGTTTTAATTTTGATTGAAATTTTATACTGTAGATATATTAATTTTACATAAAATTATAANGAAATATCAATATCAACATTGTGTGGTAACAATATAATAGTTTGTATTATGGTGCTCTGAGGACTGTCGAGAGGGGAGCTTAGGATTTTTTTCCTGGCCCGGAGGAAACTTAGGGGTCCCAAGTAATTTCTACCCCTATAAAATTAACGTTATTGTTACTAAGTCAAACGTTACTGTAGACTACTCTTACTCTAACGTTACTTTAATCTTATTTAAACCTAACGTTATATTTACTAAATCAGAAAATAAAATGTTTAAGACTGTTATTTTATTAATAAAGAAACATTTTACGTATTTCATTTGTTAAAAAAAAAGGTTAAAGGGACCCGTTCAACCCCGAACCCTATATAAGCTTTCGACGGTCCTAGCTGCCTCTTCTGTTATTTTTTGTACATCTGCTGCTGGATCAACGTAGTAAATAATCACATAATAATATAATCATTATATTTTACAAATTCAAAATCATTCCTAATGTATTCTGATTATATTTATATCAATACTTAATTTTAACTCAGCTTTATACCCATGTTTTTAAAATAGAATTCTTTACATCAGTAACTTAATTATTATATTTCATATATTGTATAATTGTATTTCTTATAAGAAACAAAACCCCATATAAGAAAACCCCATATAAGAAATATGTATCTCTTAAGTGTATTTTCTTGTATAAGATATAGTCATACAAAGCTTAAGCCTTAATCCCTAATTATGTTAAAATACTTAACAATATTTGTATTGGATATAAAAAAAAAAAGCTTACAGAAATGATAGTTTATTCAACATTTAAAAATATAATAATTACGGGGAATAATGTCAAAAGTATATTATTCTTTTCTAGGATTAATTTAGATAATAAATGTGGAGTTAAAAATTTAGATATAAGACATTTAGAAACACTTAATTTTTGAAATATGAAATAATTTATAAATTTAGTTTATCTTAGCAATAGATGATAACTAATTTGAATTATTTGATGCTAATTCTTATTATATACTGTGTAAAGAATGAAATTTCGTAGATATTGGTTTATAAGGTGCGGATTCAAAGTAGTTAAAAGTAGGGTATATGCTTATCCTGCTGTTCTTTGGAGAGCCTAAGCCAATCGTTTAACATACAAATGCTTTATACGTCTTTTTACAAATTAGTTTTTAAAGTTAGTATTCGGTCAATAAGGAAATATCAACATCAACATTGTGTGGTAACAATATAATAGTTTGTATTATGGTGCTCTGAGGACTGTCGAGAGGGGAGCTTAGGATTTTTTTCCTGGCCCGGAGGAAACTTAGGGGTCCCAAGTAATTTCTACCCCTATAAAATTAACGTTATTGTTACTAAGTCAAACGTTACTGTAGACTACTCTTACTCTAACGTTACTTTAATCTTATTTAAACCTAACGTTATATTTACTAAATCAGAAAATAAAATGTTTAAGACTGTTATTTTATTAATAAAGAAACATTTTACGTATTTCATTTGTTAAAAAAAAAGGTTAAAGGGACCCGTTCAACCCCGAACCCTATATAAGCTTTCGACGGTCCTAGCTGCCTCTTCTGTTATTTTTTGTACATCTGCTGCTGGATCAACGTAGTAAATAATCACATAATAATATAATCATTATATTTTACAAATTCAAAATCATTCCTAATGTATTCTGATTATATTTATATCAATACTTAATTTTAACTCAGCTTTATACCCATGTTTTTAAAATAGAATTCTTTACATCAGTAACTTAATTATTATATTTCATATATTGTATAATTGTATTTCTTATAAGAAACAAAACCCCATATAAGAAAACCCCATATAAGAAATATGTATCTCTTAAGTGTATTTTCTTGTATAAGATATAGTCATACAAAGCTTAAGCCTTAATCCCTAATTATGTTAAAATACTTAACAATATTTGTATTGGATATAAAAAAAAAAGCTTACAGAAATGATAGTTTATTCAACATTTAAAAATATAATAATTACGGGGAATAATGTCAAAAGTATATTATTCTTTTCTAGGATTAATTTAGATAATAAATGTGGAGTTAAAAATTTAGATATAAGACATTTAGAAACACTTAATTTTTAAACATTTATATGTATTTTAATATAATTAAACGCTTTTATGTAATGACTTTAAATCATTTAAACAATTTTTAATTTAAAATTTAATCTATAAGACCAAATTTTATTGGCTTTGTTTTCTTTCAAATGTTAATTGGAAAATTTTCCATTTATATTAGGCTTATTTATGTTAACATATTCTAATTTTATCATTTGTCTTACATAGGCTATATGCTACGTATTATATAAAAACTCTTGCTCTCTACGTCATCCTTTGTGTCACTTAAAAAATGAATTTATGTCGAGTTATAAAATTTTTAATAATTTAACTTACTAATTTTTGTACTTATCCTAAAAGAAATTAGCATTTTATTTAGATTAATTGTAAGTTCAAGCTAGAGTAGGACGAAAATAATAGAACACATAAAGATTCCAACCTTACATCATTAATGAAATGGACCTCAGAAAGCAAACAAAAGTACTACGGTACAAGCCTATTTTAATTCTAGAAAATAAATCTAACCTTTCACTCAGGTTCCTATAACAATTATACATTCGTATTTTTGGCAGTAAGTTGTCAATAATAAACAAACAATAGACAGTATGTGGATTTGGTTAACATCTAAATATGATTTTTCCTACTTTGTCAATCATATAAAAGCTAAATTCGGTCAATTTTAATTTACATTTTTATGTATAATTAGCATCGATCATATTTTATAAACTAATTCCTATAAATATGTCCGTTTTCAAGAATTTTGATCACAGTAATTTTAAATTTATAATATATTAATTAGTTTTATTTAACATGTCTAAAAATCTCCATATTACGTAGGGCAAGTATATTTAATTCATCAATACTTTGAAAATAAATCTGTAAACTTAATTTTTTTAAAAATGAGAAGAGTTAGATTGATTAAAATGTTTTATTATAGTTTAAATCATTTTAGAATTTCTTTTAAAAACTTTCATAAATTTGAGGATATGTTAGAGTAAATTTATGAAACAAATAAGTTATTCTTAGACATAAGCTTATATATTTAAAAATCTTACAATTGTCAACTTTTATAAATGAGAATCTTGGCTAAAAACTTATCCTATTTTAAATAAAAATTAAGTTTAAAGTATTTTTAATACATAAGGATCTGAACCTGATTAACTTTAAACTTCTGATAATATAAGGCTAGCTTCTATAAATGAAAATTATAAATAATATTTAAATTAATTAATTTCTCAGTTACTAATCTGGATATTTTAAACATTTATATTCTTTAAAAAAAAGGTATCTGAATTTATATTTTCTATCGAATTTTTCCGATATGAAATGAAAAGGGGGAATGAATTGAAAGTATCCTTTTAAGTTTATTACGGAAGCACTCTAAATAACTTTTGTTTTGGATGATTCTGTTTTAAAAGTGGATTTTTTTGAACGAAAAAGTCTTCCCTACCTTGACGTAAAATTAGTGAAGTCTTTTCGATGCTCTCTCAAACTATTGCAGCCATACAGCGTCCCGAAGTTGTACAATATCTGTTACGACTCAGCTGTGTATCAGGATTAGCAAAACAAGTGCTTCATTTACCTCTACATTTACTCTCCTTCTACCTTTACCATCTCAGGTCACTGATGCCAATGTCCACGCCCACAAATGTTTGATCCTTCCAATCAGAAAAGATAGTTTATCTCGCCACGCCCCAGTTTTACAAATCGTCCAATTGACTTCGATACGATAAGTACGACCAGCACGTGCCGAAGTTGCTAAGTTACCACGCGCTATTATGAATTAAAATAAAAACTTTCATTTTCAAAATTTCGTTTGTTTATATTTTCATTTAATTTTTAGTAAAGTTCGTTTTATTTTCAAAAGATTATAATACGTGAAAGTTATTATAAGGTTTCGGTTGTCGATATGTAAGGTTTCGCCACGTGTCTGCAAATTATAAAATATATTTTTTCAATAAAATTTTAAATTTTGTCATTTTAAAAAATTGAGATTTAAATTACTTTTATAAGTTTTATTAGAATTATATAGTAATCACAGTCATCTATCGCTAAGTGTTGTTTAATCTATATATAGGCCTATCAAATGAAATTTTTAGTAAATTAAATACTCTCCATCTAAATGTAGGCCATTTAAATCATGTAAATATATTTTTCGATGTAATTATAACTTAATTCAATAAAATTCGTTATTAAAACAAATATATAACAGGTGGAAACAATGATGTTCAGAAGAGAGGAGCAGGAGCAAAATGTCTTTCCTGTCGTTTGTCGATCTGTATATTTAAATTATAAATAAATATATAATTATATAATTAAAACGTATATATGCGATCTTCCTTTTTCTATTACGAAGAATAATTAAATTTAATTACAGAAATAAAGACAGAAATATTATTAACACGG